TGATTAACATGGAGGAAGATTTGGGGGAGATTGGAGAAGAAAGGTACTAGATAGAAAAGTATGTTTTAAGACAAACGCGCTATCTGATAATGATGAATTACAGTAGAATATCCTTTATTTCAGGCAGCTTCTAGTATCAGATTTCGGTTCTCTCTATTATTAAATAAAATCTTAACCTTATAATAATTAATTGATGGATTCGACCGTTACTTGATGGAAATTCATTTTATGTAACAATAAAACACTGAAAACTTTGTTTTCAAACTTCCACAACATTTTTTATAGAAGTTTGAAAATAAAATTTTCAGTGTTTTATTTTTATAATATTTAAATGATCTGAATAGAGACTATACTTGGTATTTTATTGAATTTAATGTGTTAGAATCGCCTCTAAAACGTTTAATTATCATTTGTAGTTCACATATTTCCGGTATCCCTTACCGAATTCAGTAAAAGACGGTGTTTACATACGCATTAAAAACTAGCCAAACAAAACGAAAGCATTTGAGTTGATTGTGCAGAAAACCTTCCTGATATTCGATAAAATATATTATAAGAATAACGTGCTGTCTGTGACTAATAACAATTCAATTTAAAAATATAAATAAAATAGTAAGAACACTATAAAAATAAATAAACAATGAGATCGCATATGTATCCCAACATTCATAATATATTTTGAGAAAAAAAATATCACAAAGCTCATCAACAAAATACTGGGCGTTACATCGAACAAAACAATCTTTAATATATACGTAAAGAAATGTCGATTTATACAAAATTAACGTCCATTTCAAGGAAGCTCAAATTGATTCCACAAACAATATAACGTATTGTTGTGAGTTACATAGCCATAATAGCGGCCATGTGCGTTAGAGAAGTCCAGAAGCCTCTTTGTTGCCCGAACTCCGATAAAAAGATGACCCTCGAGAATTTGCCAGTCGGCGTTTTCAAGAACAGTTCGTATTTTTATATAAGCTAGCAAGGGCGGACTTAGTAATTGTTATGTTTGTAATTAAGTGAGTTTTTGAGTTAAATAAACTCATTTAAAGCACGTCGCACTTCACATAATCTCCGAACTCACAGAATAACGTAAAAGTGTCATCTAAAATTTACTCTCACGTTTGCACATACAGACATACACACAAACAAAAAGAAAACTCCAGGAAAAAAAATCCCTAAAAAATCCTTAACAACTTTAAAGACAATGATAAGGGTAAACTGAATGCTGATACTAAATATCCAATTGATAACACAATTTGAAGAAAAACAAATATTATATCAAATCTAAGACACAGAACTGTGCCAACCTTACTGCACTATATTTTCAGATGACATATTTCAACCTTGAATGGAAACTTTTCATCCTCAGAGCAACAGCCAGAGGTTTTTGTTTTTCTCCCCAATTCGCCTCCAGTTTTAGTTTCATCCTTTTGGTGTACACTATTAAAAAATTTTCTCCTTTCAAACCATTCTGCATTCGTTCTTACTCCTATTATCTCCCTTGCAGTTACTTCAACTAATGTCCTTGTTTTCCTCAAAGGAATGGAACCTAATTCACGACCTGTGCAAATTCTCACCCTGCTTTTCTTAGTATCTCGCCTGAGCATTCTTGTTTTTTTAGCTTCCATACTTTCCACTTTTCCACTTATTCTACGCATTACAAATCTCCGGAAAAAAAAAATTAAAAGAAAATTGTATTAATTATCGAATAAATCTTCTAAGGTCTATTAGATCATGCGGGACAAATTTTATAATTATACAATAAACCTTCCAACGGCAATCAGATGCAGAGCCAATTTTATTCCCCAATATCCCTCCAAGATCCATTAGATTATGCAGGGCCAATTTTATTAATTATCAAATAAACCTTCCAGGGTCAATTATATTATGCAGAGCCAATTTTATTATCAATAAACCTTCTAAGGTCTATTAGATTATGCTGGGCCAATTTTATTAATCATCTAATAAACTTTTCAAGGTCCATTAGATTATACAGAACCAATTTTATTAATTATTTAATTAACCTCATAGGTCCATTTGATTATGCTGGACTAACGTTATCAATTGTCGAATAAACTTCCCAAGATCCTTATTTTTTCCTTCGACCTTTCACCCAAAGGAATGGATCTTGATGGACTACCTCCTGCAAATTCTGATTTTCTTGGTGACTCCCCTGCACGTTCGAGTTTTAGCTTCTATACTTTCCACTTACCTACTTGTTCTCCACATTCCAAGACATTCGTGAAAAAAAATTGAAGCCAATTTTCTTGATTATCGAATAAACTTTCCAAGGTTTATTAGATTATGCAGAGCCAATCTTATTAATAATTATCGAAGAAACTTTCGAAGAAAATAGACACCATTGTATGTCTTTTAATTACGTATTGTGCCACTCCATGATAGAAAATTTGATTGAGGCTAGATTTTCTGTCTTTAATTTTGCATTCGATTTACCATATCTAATGGACACATAGAGGTTCTCAAAATATTCAGTCAACAATAAATAATTAACAAACAGACGCCAAATCAACAACGTCGATGACCATAGAACGCACGTGGCACAAACAGAAGACGAAAAGCATATACCAATCAAAATATTGGCTCATACAGTGACAATATCACTTGTTATGAACAACCAAAATGAGGAAACAAGAAAAATCTTCATGTGAACAAGCTGTAATTACCGATATTCATAAGATTCCCAAGAGAGATCCTCTTTCATGCCGAAACTGAACAATTTGGAAGCTCTAAGTTTGTGGAACGTTTTCGTGTCCTCATAACAATTAAATGTGAACAGAACTATCAATAAAATAATATAAAACTACTACATAACACTTGACAGGTGTAGCTTATTCAAAAATAATTTGCACGATGTAACACCCAGTATTGTAAATGATTTTTCATAGTTCGAACAGCTCTGTCAAACAATATTTTGACACAACAGAGTGAATTCCGACGAGTGATCTCTCGTATGAAGAAAGTTCAAGCAACTTTGGTATTCTAGAACTATCTTCAAACGAAGAATTTACTTCACCCTGTATATTATTGGAACAATCAACAAATATTCAGTACTTACGTTAAAAGTCTTAGATAAATATCACTACTAGAATAATTATTAATTGTTTACACGCACACGCGTATAAATTAAAATCGAAGAAAAAACATGTTAAAAAAATCACATTTAGGGTCTGGTCGTGCATTATAAATATATATTTTTCAGCATTCAAAAATTCAAAATTCTGAAAAATAAAATTGGCTACTACGAGCCAATTTTATAAAACACTTTATAAAATTGGCCCATATGAGCCAATTTTATTCATTATCGAATAAACCTTCCGAGGACCATTAGACTATGTGGAGCCAATTTTATTACTTATCAAATAAACCATCCAAGGTCCATTAGATTATGCAGTCGATCAAGAATTTTAATTGGCCCAACTATAGGGACAATCTTATTATTGATTATTTTAAAATTGGACAGTAAAGCCCGTTAACATTGAGAGTAATACTAGGAGGTATGAGACTAGTACTTATTATAATTTACTACTAAAATATGGTTATTTGACTGAGAAACTCAGTAAAAGAAAAAGAGTGAACATTATTTAATCCGGAAAATTATGTTATTCATATTATAAATGTAGAAAAAATGCCTGTTGCATGCGGAATAAATTTCTATGCAAAATTGCTCTCGATTTCAGATCAAGATCGATAAAAAATATGCTTCCTAGTCTGCTTCGAGGATCTGTACTTGCACCATTGGCATTTAGTCTATATATTGTAGACAAATGTCGAAGAATTTAAATAAAATTCAAAGAGAAGTCGTGGAAATGATGCCTAAAGACCTACAAGGCTATTTTCAAGAATAGGGATCTTAAATTTTAATCTTCCTAAACTGAAGAGATCGATTTGTCACTTAAAATAGCTGGTTCCACGTTTATTTTGAAGCCACGCCACTCCATTCAAATAATAGTTTCCGATACTGTTTGATACGTCACTAGATTAATACTATCCACGTTAAGCGATATTGTAAGTAAACTTAGTTCACTTCACACATGTAGCAGATTTCATTTAAAAAACTCCTCTCTATGCGAAAAATTAGTCCATTATCTAATTTCGATCTTGTGTCAGAGATGGCATTGCTGACATCTGTCACTATCTCTGGTTCCAACTTTTCTCTTCAAAATGGTACCCATAGGAGGAAAATAGGACTTTTGGGTCTTTTTACTAACTCACTATTAAATAGTTTGAAATAGTAATTGTGTAGATTTGAATTTTCTCTAAGGCATTGGCAACCCAGCTACTTTTCCTCTTTTCTTTAAATCAGACTCCATGTAGTTTCTCCTGATTTCCCAAGTTTCCTCCCAAGCTGATGAGGGCAGTGATGTCGAAACGCGTGCTGGATTAATAAATAAATATTGTTTTTACAATTTGCGGTTTAACTTAGAGACTGGTAATCGGCATTACTTACAAATCACATTAGAGAGATACTTTTCATTATGAAAAAAACTGTAATTAATGTTATCGACCTATCGAACTAGAAACTTGAAGCAAAGGCCTGGAAATTTTGTGAATACGAGGAAAGTAGAAAGGAAAGGGCCCAACAGATATTTGTTTTCTTTCTTTTGTCTTTTACTGAGTGAGCAATTTAAAAGAATTATCGTTTTATGGACACTGCGCTTGTTAGTCTTATCAATATTCTCCACAATGATGGATATGACTTCCATTTGAATAAAATACATTTTACTAAAAAATCTTTCAAATAAATTAAAAATCATAGTAAGATTATAATCTAAAAATAAATTAGTTCATCTTAAAATATAAATATAGGAACATTCTCTAAACAAGTTAGGTAAATATTTGTTAATTGTTCTCAATCTCTTTACAAATAAATAAAAATAAATCGTCTTATCAGAGTTGCTAAAATTTTACATTTGCCATATTACACATATACTTTAATAATTTTTACATTACAGGGCGCCAAATGGATCAAAAGTTACCTCTTGTTGCTGCTGTTGTGGAGCTCCGGCGTTCATCTTAGGACTGCCCATCACGGGTTGTTGCATGGCCGCGAATTGGTTCACTTGCCCCATCATCGGTTGCATCGTTTGGCCCATGACGGGTTGGCCCATCATCCCTTGTCCCATCATCGGTTGTTGAGTTCATCATAGGCTGGGCCATCGCTTGTCCGACTGGTCGGTATCCGGGTGCTGTCATCGGCTGAGCAGGCCAGCCGCCAGCTGGCTTTGCTTGGTTTCTTAGGGAATTCCATTGAGGGCCTCTACTACCTGTTGAATTTGAATACATTGAAACGTCAAATGATTATGTTAGCGATAAAAAGACATTTACCAGAACCGTTCCCTACAAACGTTTGTTATTTGGGAGTAAATTTAAACGAACAGTGGGAATCATTGCCGGAAATTAAGATAAAGATCAAGAAGGCCAGATCACGTGACACTTTGCATGTCCCTCTAGGTCAAGCTCTTTATATATTAGCAATCTAATGCCCTTTTGATCCAGTTACAATCATTGCTTTTTCTATGTCATTGTAACTCCCACCTCCTCCTCTTTTTAACAAGCCATAACACGCTCACACGTAGTTTAAGTTGAACAGTTTCTTTATATTCTGTATAAGTCTTCCCCTCCAATCTTTGCGGCTTCTATAACAATATTATCTTCTTCCGGAGCTTTATTTCTTTTCATTTTCTTTCATTCCGATCCTTGGTTGACTAATATTTTTCCTTAAATTATAATATCATTTAGGGTATTCTTATTTCTTTTGAGAATTTTGTTGACGTATTCTTCAAATGTAGACTTCTGATCTTTCGGTATCTTCTTTCCAAAGGTCTATTTCTATCGAGGCATTATGTGATCACTACATGTTAAAAACTGGTTTAGGAGTGTAACATCTATAAAGATTTGCCTCTTGTCAGTGATCATAAAATCGATCTTGTTCCTAGCTTTTCCATTCGGCCTCTACCAAGCCCATCTCCGATGTTCTTTTTTGTAGACGAAGTTGTTCATTTGGAATAGATGTTTTTTCAGCAGGAAACTAAGTAAAGTTTCATCGCACTCAGCCTTGTTTTCTAAACCAAATTTTCCTAATTTGCTTTCTCCCCGTTTTAGCGTTGAAGTCGCTACATATGGTACAGCGTGTTATTATATCGTTTAGGGTAGTTAGAGTGTGTTACCGTCAAACCTAGGTTGAAAATATTTCCGTACTGTTTTCTGATAGTTGCTGAGAAAAGGACTAATATTAAGAAATTATGTATTTTGCGGTCAGAAATTGCGCTGAGAATTATATATTTTTAACAGATTTTATAAAAACAAAAGGCTCTGTAGAGAAAACTCAAAGACCAGAGAGGAAGTGCAGTTTTTACAAGACATGGGGGACGTCCCGCGGGACAAAGCGCCAGTCTCGTCCCGCAGAAAAATCGCTGTCACGTCCCGCAGCAAAAATCGTTGTCGCGTCTCGTCTCGCGTGACAAAATGCGGGACTGGACGTCCCGAGTGCATCCCTAATAAAGGAGAAAAAACGTAGAATTGTATGATGAGAAACGTTGAAAAGCAATTGAAGAAGCAAGAAAATATAACAACACAGACGAAACAGACGATAGTAGAAAATTTTATAAAAAACATAAAGATAACACACAGATATTCAGATCAAGGCTGACGTTATGCAAAGACGTGTTAGAGAAACAAAAAAATACTTTGAAGAAAGTCTAAACGCAGATAATGAGTGGAACAGCATTTTAAAAACTCCATTTATAAATAAGTGACACAGATAAATAAGAAGCATCAGTTAATGAGGTGTATATATGCAAAATAGATAGGTATATCTTCAACTCTTTTGTTAGAAAGAGGACTAAAATAGCTTAAATAACATATTTAGTCGACTAAAATCTAGATTTGACTAAAATGTTGATAATATTTTATGTAATAGAATATTTGTATGTAATGTAAAACTTAATAAAATCAACAAAATCGACAAAAATCCTATTCAAAAGTTTAACAACAAAATATTTGTGTTTATAATTCTGTTCAGTTAATATACTATCGCTTTAGTATGTAATTAAATATCGGGTGTATGCATGTCAAATGAAAAGTGGTTCAAGGTCAGTATTTAATACAAAATATTATTCCCAATTAACTTAAATGTTTGGGTAATCAATGTATATCGACTTTTAATAAATTTATATTGAAAAATAGCAATTTGTTGAGTCATCTTAAAACAACAAAATATCATAGCAAAATAATTTACAAAATTCTATTAACTCCGTAAATTAAAAAGCAATACTGATGGAGCTCAATTTCTTGATCATTGAAAAATTATTGAAGAAGAAATTACTCATAAATCATATATTCAATAACAAATTGAAACATTTGCACAAATTCATACACAGTCACAATTTAAACATAATATCATAAAGGCGTTACTGCCCTCTGTTGAACATAGGCCTCCTCCAAGTCTCTCGATTCTGGACTGCCATTCTCCAGTTCCCAATAATTCCTTTTACGCCGTCGCTCCAACGTGTCCATGGTAGACGTCGTTTAACTGCTCGTGGTCGCTATTCTAGCATTCTTCTAGTATAATGTATCGTACCATATTTTACTGTAGCTACATGTTACACAATGTATTTTCCTTCGAGTTATTGGGTATACTGTCTCTTTTAGTGATTCCAAGCATGACACGTTTCATGGCTCTCTTTGGGCTATTCTTAGATTTTCCTTAAATTATCCGATATCCTTTTTTTGTTAATGTTAATGTCTTTACTCCATATGTCATCTTTTGAATTTGTATTTCGTTCCCTTTCCAATTTGTATAGACATGTACTAGATTTGTCATTATTTGGCTTTTATTGCATTTATTTGGAGACCAACCTCGATGAGACCATGAGGCCTTGTTGACTGTTGCTTCATGAAGTTTTACATTAGTGGTAGCATTACAGTATATGTATTCTATGAGCCTATGTATCTGTAATCTATTCTACATTGTTCCACTGCGGCTATTATTGATAATGGTTTTACTGTGTCAAATGGACTATGGAAATAGATTAAAATCAAGGTTAAGGGTCTTTTATGTTCCAGACTTTTCTATAAGGATTTTAATTGCTTGAAGATGATCATTTGTCCCGTAACTTTTCCTGGAAGCTGCTTGTTCTCTTGATTGATATAAGTCAAAGTTTACCTTACAAGCGTTTGACAATGATTTTCGTGGATGGCCTATACAACTGACAAAGAAAGCTCATCAGCCTGTAGTTCTCAAGCTCAGTGATATCACCTGTTTATGAAGTATTGTTATGGCGTTGTTCAACTGAGATGTGATTACTCCATTTTCACGACATACATTAAATAAGTCTCTAACATATCTAGAGAAAATAACAAATACGATATGGCCTACTCAAGGCACATAAGACAGGATTATCATTGCAGCCAATAGTTAGTTCTATCGGATCTCACCTACAACCATATGCGGAAGAAGCAGATTCTTACGTCAACATATAAAAGTCACTTCATCAAATGTATAAAAGATGTGACTCTTGAACGCTGGCATTTGTTTCTCAGCTTCGATGTGGTCTCACTTTTCACGAATGTTTCTACAGATGAATCATTAGAAATTATAATCAAAAGTAGCCAATACCACAGGATACACTAAATCTAACAAAACATTGCTTAAATAACAAATATTTCATCTATAAGAAACAAAGATATAAACAAGTTAAAGGAGCACCGATAGCTTCACCATTGTCATTGGTAATAGCAAATAGAACAGCGAGCAATAGGAACAGCCGATCACAACCCAAACTGGCTTAGATATCTGGATGATACTTTTTTCATCTGGACACATGAAGAGGAAAAACTAAAGGTATTTTATAACACATCAATAATATCAACCATATTCAATCATAAAAACGATAATTACAATATCTGAACGACTGACAGATGAAGAATGTCAAAATGAAGAAATGCATAATGTGAAAACATTAGGAAAAAACACTAAGAAAAAACAAATTTTAAACACTAACAAAAACTAACACTAAGAAAAAACAAATTTTTTACTTACACCACTGAAAAGACTCAGAATGCTCAAAGAAGAATTAAGGATTCAACAGAGGAGGAAAAACTGATTGCAAAAACCATTTTGCCATATGTAAAAGGGACAACAGAAAAAATATGGAGTGTTAAAAAAAAGCACAAAATAGAAACGATATTATCCGCAACAAAAATATCATTAGAAAATCAATAGGTATATGAGATTCCATGTGGGGACTGTGAAAAATCGTACATCAGACAGACCAATTGAAGAATCCATGTTAGACGAGAACATCGAAATGCCATCAAAAAGAGAGAAAAACCTCGTCCCTTGCACATGTCTCAAACACAGGACATACAAGAAACTTAAATAAATCGAATAAAACATGAAATCAGAGAGTCAATAGAAATAGAAAAAAAAAACCACAACAGACTAAACCAAAGATATGATGCTCAAAGGCTTCCAATAACATGGAAAACAGTATTTAAGAAAAAGACACAAATAAATCAGGCAACAAGACCGAGTATGAACCCTCCTACCTATACTCGCACATGGCCAATTGGGCGAGCAGTTTACCCCTATAAGTAGAGCATAAACCAACTAATTTTTTTGCGTTTCTACAGCACCAAACCTTTTTTATTCGATTTTATATTGTTTTTTCAACGAAATAAATACTATTTCTATGTGTTGGTAATTTCTCTAGTTATTTGCAATTTTTAGTTGAAAAAACGTGAAATGTGAAAAAAATACTAAATGAAGTACTAGTAAGAATATTTTGACAAGGATGAATAGTCTCTATCTTGCTGAAAATATGGAACCAAATATTTTGAATATGCATTTTGAGCAATCTATTTTATCTTATCCTTATCCAAATATTCTTACTTGTACAAAAATGTTTAAAGATTATCCAAATATTCTTAATTGTACGGGAATGTTTAAAGATTATAAAGCTTTTTGTAGAATTGCAATTTTAATTAGGTTTTTTTCTTAGAAAAAAAAAATCCCAAAAATCACTAATAAAGGTTTTTAAACAAAAAAATTGCAAATAACTTGATAAGGAAGCATTTTTCAAAAAATTACCAAGAGAGAAAAGATATACCTAATTATATAATATTTTAGTTATAAACACAATGGCAATTTTTCGAAAAAAAAAAATTATATGCTACTCATCAGATATTTTTGCTAATTAATAATTTGTGTCACAAAATTTTCCTTGCGCATATTACACCTAGAAAATTACAGAAATATATTGTGTCAAAATCAAAAAATCTAAACTGAGTCAAGGTATCGCAAGTTAAATATACAATTGCAGTTGTAGATATCAATTTATCACAAAATTTACAAAACTTTTTGTTTTTAGAGTAGAAAAATTCTTATATTTCTTTTGGCATTTTAAAGTTTAAAAAATCTTGTTGGTAGTGAGCCATAAGTACAAATTATAAATATTTACAAAAATTTTTGTAAATAAATACAAGTCTTCATTAATTTTACGAAATAAATACTAATAAACTATCCAGACAAGACCTCTTCCATAGAGATGTATTGCTCTACGGAAGAAGTTAACCAAAATTACAATTCCATATTCATTGGGAAAACTTCTGGCTCAACTCGCATAGTTGAAATAGAAACTGCAAAACATATATTTATTTTATCATAAGATCTTACCAGAATCCATTGTCAAATTATCCACTAATGATGTTAAACTGGACTCCAAATCTCCAGTAAGCAGTTTTGCAGGTGCGGCTTTTGGAGGCTGAGCTGCAACTGGTTGCTGCTGTATGATTTGGGCACTCATCGTTTTAGAGTCACCTAAAGGATCAAACACTGATGGCTCATTTGTATTGAACAACCCACTAAGATCATTGGCATTTCCAAAAGGCTGAGCTTGAATAGGCTGTGCTTGAAATAGATTGTTCCCACCAAAACCATTGGTACCCCACATGTTATTGTCAGTAGTTGCAGTAGTTGATCCAAAAGCATCTTGGCCTAGAGGTGCTGCTGTTGTTGCTACAGGGGCTGCAGAAAAGTCAGCAAAAGGATTACCACCTAGGGAAAGGAGATCATCAAGGGCATTGGAAGATTGAGCTGGCCTAGCAGCCTCTGGAGCAGAACCACTGGAGAAGAGGTCTAAGATTGGTTCACCAGTTACTGTTGGTTCATCACTAAGGAAGGGGTTTGTACTTGCTGCAGATGGAGAGCCTACAGATGCTCTGTAAAATAAAGTCTAGTATGATATTGCTTTTCAAAGTATTATCTGCAAACATGTTTTGCTCATCTCTTCTTGAACTGTTTCTAATTAAAGTCCTTAATAGGACAATTACAAAAAAATTGTTTATTTTACATTACCTATAACATTAATTACTGTTAGCTCAGCCAAGTAGTATTGTTGAATTTGTATTCAACAAGCAGAGTATTCAACACGCTTTAAATAGATTTTAAATTGTTTTATTTTTAAAATGACCTGTTAAAAATCTTTTTTGGTTAAAAATAATCATAACCATTAGAAACTCAGATATAGATAATACAAAAATTCCAAACCAAAATGAATATCTGGAGACACTTAATAATAAATGGTGTTAGAAACAGTAGTTTCCAGGGTCAAAAGTAGTCATAAAAATGTAATCATAAGTATGCAAAGTTGGTAGTCACAAAGGTTTTTATTAACAATACTTTGTATATATTATATTAATAAGTATTTGCAGACATTCCATACAGTAATTTCTTTTATTTGGACAGATTACAATATAACATCAACTTACCTATAATGATTCAATGCTGCCTCCTCTTCAGCCACTGCAGCTTGCTTAAATGAGTCATCAACTGCAGTACCAAAGGCATTGCTTGTGTTTGACAATGCAGACACACCAGACTTGACATTCTTTTGTGTTGTGGCAGCTGTTGGTGTATTTCCTTCCAATGATGCTAAGTGTTGTTCCAGAGCATCTAAAAGACTATTTGGAGCTCTGGTAAGATCTGGAATATCACCTTTGTCAATTCCTATATTTTCAGCTACTTTAAGAAACTCAGCAACTCTGTCCATCCTTATCAAAAACTTTTTGTACAAATCTAAAGCTTCTCTACATTGTTTTTTATTCATTTCAAAATATTTTTCTAGTAAATTGATTACTCCATCATTATAACAGGCAAAAAGTCTGATGAGATCACGAAACAGCAACATGAAACACATGTTTATTACTCCATTAGTGAGATCATTAGCAGTACAGTCAAATTCAAGAAGAGCATCTAATTGATTTTGTAAAATAGGCAGGGTTTTTAAGAGATTTTCTGTATTCATTGTTCTTAGAGTACCCTCTTCCTTTCCTCTTTTTACTTTACAAAAATCAAAAGCAACTGATCTATATGATAAAGCTTTTTCATTTAAATATTTAGCATACCTTCTAATAAATGGTGACATATCATAGCCAGTTCGTGCTCCTACAGCACTTTGAACACCTGTTTTGTCAACAAAATTTGAAAGTTGGAAGGAAACATTGCTTGATGCTAAATATTGAGTAAATCTTTCATTACCATAGCACATAATATGATGTGTTGTAATCAAAGCCTTAAACACCACTATCCAACTTGTATTCTGTGATCTCTCTATCAATAAATTAGCCATTTGCGGTATAGATACATTGGGTTCATTAGTACAATGGATTAGATAGTCCAAATGTTTTTTCTTAGGTCCTAACATTTCTTCAGTTGTAGCTTTACATACTGACTTTGCAAGACCCTGACCCGCTAAACTATGTTTTGCTGCTAAAAGACGATCATTAATTGTTTGCCCCGCCATTTTCTCTATATAAATATTGCACTATATTCACGATATTTTTTTGAAACTCTAAAAATAATCACTCAAAAAATTTACACTAGGTCGATCATGTATGAAGTAAGAAGTGAGACCGGTGACAGCGATCAATAAAACAAAATTCAAAACTAGCAGTGCATTCAACCTTAAGAATAGAAAATATGTCAAGGTTGATTATGTTTTAAGATAAACCACACAAAATATTATTAAAAAGTTTTATTGTTTAATATCAAAATCCTAGTGATCTTATGTTAAATATTATTTTCAACTTTTATCATACGAATAGTTCAAACAAAAATATAGTCGAAGTGATGGTTTTTTCAATAGTAAAAGTCGTCTGGACATTTGAAGATAAACATAAATAACAGAAAGTGACAGTGACAGATAAGGGCTGGTGCCAGTTTATCGACAAATTGACAAATGGTTGAATATTTATCTTGACGTGACCTCAGTGATGTGATGTGTTGGCCGTAGGTGAATGGTTAGAATTTGAAGAGATATATTTTCGGTATTTCGGAAATTAAAGAAATAAAGATGAAGTACTTATATTTATTATTATTTTTAAATTTAGTCGCTATTGTTAATGTTTATGGCCAGCAAAAGAGACAGGTAATGAAAATACTCCTTTTTATTAATAAGTTAAAATTGGAATCTGTGTTTTAAAAAGTAATATATGAAATATTATGTATACTCCAAACGTGGAATGTAGCTTGTATAGTCCTAAAGCCATTTATGAATAAGTAGGAGCAATATTTAAGTTAATTATTTTAAATGATTTTTATTTAATCTATTGTGGGTATTTTTCAGCCTCATACCATGGCCGAGCGCGTTCAGCAACTAACGGACATGGCTAATAAACGACCAGTGTTGAGATTTAATGCCAATAAGTTTAGAGACTTTGTAAAAGCCTCACCAAGGAACTATTCAGTAATCATCATGTTCACAGCAATGGCTCCCAAAGGCAATGCCAAGTGTGTAGACATGCTAGCGAAGAGTTTGCCATTGTGGCAAACTCCTATAGATACTCACAGAGTTATTCGAATAAATTATTCTTTGCTGTTGTTGATTTTGATGAAGGATCAGATGTGTTTCAGATGGTAAGTACCTTCTGATAGGGAGAGCGCCCACCAAACTGGCATAGCAAGTAGCATGTGTCTAGCATGTTACTTCAAATGTAACCAATGATAATGAATGATTCAATGCACACCAAAATGACAGTGACATCATTCATTCTAATCATTCGTTTGCATTGGTTACATTTTAAGTAACATGCTAGACAGGTGCTACTTACCACGCCAGTTTGGGGTGCACTCTCGCTTAGATTACCACAAATTTCTCTAAAAATTTTTGCAAAATATCTTTCATATTGAGACATATTAATCTTTCATTTTAAGTTAAGACTGAATACTGCCCCAGTATTTATTCACTTCCCACCTAAAGGAAAACCAAAGAATGCAGATACCATGGATATACAAAGGATTGGTTTTGGTGCAGAAACCATTGCTAAATGGATAGCAGAAAGAACTGATAATCAGGTAAGTGCATCTTTATGTTGCTTCTTTAATACAATTACCTTATTACTTTATTTTATGAAAGTACTATAAAATTTAAAACTAGAAGATAAATGTGATAACTGTTCACTTGTTTTGAACAGTTATCACATTGCTGTGCAATAGCTTTGCAATTTGGTTTATCTGGATCAATAATCAATAATCTAAGGCAATGGTATGGAAAATCAACTACATCGTTATTTAGAGCTGCTGTCAATAAAGTCACGATAGCGAATATGGTAGCCAACAGGATATCCAACGATCGATAACGGTCATGGAACTAGAAGAAGGATCAATAAATTAGGCCACTGCAGAATATGTCACATTGAAGTTAACTCTAATGTGTTATTATAATCTATCCTCATTTATTTTCTGTATTCAAATTTCAATTAGGATTTCTCGTATAATTTAGTATAGCACCTAGTAATTTAGTAGAATATAAACTCAAAAACTATTTCAATTAACTGTGGCAATTGTTTATTTTTCAATTTATTTTAGAGTATTTCAAATAAAGGTAGAGTTTTTTAAGTTATTACATTCAACTAATTGCGGTTTTGGTTGAAATGTTGAAGTAAACAGTTATTAACTTTTTTGTTTTAGATCAGAGTATTCAGACCTCCAAACTACTCCGGAACCTTTGCACTGATTATTCTTTTTGCCATTGTTGCTGCATTCTTGTACCTGCGCAGGAACAACCTAGAGTTTTTGTACAACAAGACTATGTGGGGACTAGGAGCTCTCTTTTTCTGTTTCGCTATGACTTCAGGACAAATGTGGAACCACATTAGAGGACCTCCTTTCATACACAAAACTGGCAATGGTCAAATTGCTTACATACATGGATCATCTCAAGGACAATTTGTGTTTGAGACATACATTGTTATGTTTTTGAGTATCCTTTTTTAATAATTTTACAAAAAAATCAATTTAAAATTGGGATTTAACATGTAGGGATTTAACATTTTTCTGAAGCTATTCATGTAAGTATGTATAGTATAGTAGACCACTAAGTAGAGGACATATCTTATTTTAGTCCTTTTTTGGTTATAGGCCCTATACACAAAAAAGGAAAAGTGCTTGACTGTTCCAACTTTAGAGGGATTTCCTTTCTTAATATGGTATACAAAGTTTTGTCCCTGACACTCAAACAATTGGCACAGTATACTGACACTATAATAGGATCATACCAAAGGGACTGCCATTAATCTTGGTAAATTTTAAGGCAGTGTACAATACTGTTGACAGACTCTAATTATATATGGCTATGCTCAAATTTGGAATACTAAAAGTATTGGTAGAATATCCATATATATAGCCCACCATAACATGGTGGGTCATGGTATGCCGATGAAAGTAATCCTTCTAAAATAACCATGCTAAAAATAAGCCAGTGGGAGGAAGAAGGGGTGACCTAAACTCATAATTTAAGGAAGCATTGGAGTAAGCGTCATAAATTCAACAGGGAAGGATGGAAGAATGTTTTGAGGCAGGCCATGGCTCACGAAAGGCTGTAGCACCAACTGATGATGATAATCTTATTTTGTATAAAATATTTTTATTACGTTTGTAGATTAATTTTCCTTAACACAATCACAGATGGAGCTGTTGTGCTGGGAATGATTCTGCTGACTGAATCAGCAAGAGGCAAAGGTGATCCAAAAAAGCGTAAAATCTTCGCTGTATCTGGTTTAGTACTGCTATCAGTTTTCTTCTCTCTATTATTATCTGTATTTAGAACAAAAACTCAAGGTTACCCTTACAGGTAAATATTCCTATAATTAAATAATTTTATATCTTTATTAATATTTACAAATATAAAAAAGCAGATAAAAAAATATTTGTACAAATCACAACTTAAGAATATAAAGGAATATACATTTAAAAATAAATAATACAAAGCATGAATTAAAATGTAAGAAAACATAATGTCAAAGTCGTTATTAACAATATTTAAACAAAGAAATGTTTAAAAAAGGATACAGCACTAAGAGTACAGAATGGTAAACGAAACTGGCAGTATAGTCTGAATAAAAATCTAAAGGAACCTTTTTTTCGTTGCTTAATACATAAACATTTTTTTTGTATTGATATCTTTGGTTGTCACCAATTAGTCAGATTTTGATGGATTTATGAATTAAATATAATAAACAAGAGAATGAGGTTCTTTAGAGTTCCAATTATTGTAGAATTCTCTATTTAATTTGATTGCTACTTTAGTGCCCTAGTTGCTCACTGTTTCTGTAAAGAATTAACAGAATAATCATGCAAAAAAACATCTACTTAATATATACTTTATATTATACTTATTTCTATAAACTGTTTTTGTTTCTGGTTAGTAACAATATTTGCAACATTACTACTGTTAGCGCACTGACTATGATAGGTGATCAAGACCTCCGTGTTAATCTGCCCTAGACATGAAACATGTGCTTTATATTATTAAAGGAGGGTTGGCACGATCCAAGAAAGCTTGAATTCCAACTAGAACCAAGTGGACTTGTACAAGTGTGCTTGTACCAAGCACCATTGCCACAGTTAAATGGCTTGGATGTCAAATAACCATTGTAAAGACGGAAGTGATTGTGGAACGTGTTCTGTTGATTGCTGATATGTTGATACATGAGCTTGAAATCCAGAAAAAAGGAATAAAATAAAAAAATGTCTCACTTCTAGCATCCTCATTTTTATATTCCTTTATTCATACATTCCATAGTGCTTCCTCAGCTTCGTATAACTCGATGAATCTAACCTCCCTTTCAAACCATTTTCTTTTTGTGTTTACTTCTCAAGAACCGAATACCTACGAACAGAATTTTCTGTTGCCAAGTTTAATATTTTCAAAGGAAGTACATACTAAGCCACGTCTTTGTCCCCTTAAACCTGATATTTTCTCTTTTTTCCACTTTAATAATCACTAACTTAAATAATCTTAACCAAATAAAGAAACGCAAGCTGGAATACTTCGGTCATATTATGAGACACCCTGAAAAATATGATTTTTTACATCTGATAATTCAGGGAAAGATCCAAGGTAATCGTGGGTCCTGGTAGAAGAAGAACATCATGGCTGAAAAATCTAAGGCAATGGTATGGAAAATCAACTACATCGTTATTTAGAGCTGCTGTCAATAAAGTCACGATAGCGAATATGGTAGCCAACATGATATCCAACGATCGATAACGGTCATGGAACTAGAAGAAGAAGAACCAAATTGGTTTAAACCTGCTGGTTTAAACCATGTTGGTTTAAACCTGCTAACCCTGTTCTAAAGTCTTATCTATCTGAACATTTGTTTCCATTGGTGATGCAGCTTTACAATCACTCATATTAAATGAATTCAATAGCTTTGATGTCATTTTGGGCTGTCCTAATATGAAATTACCACTTTCTCTTGATATTGTCAGTCCTAAAAAGTTCTTCACTTCACCCAGTCTTTATCAATATATAAACAAAAATTGTATTTAATCTATTAAATCCATTCTCTGTGAGAAGTATTCTTACTTATAAAGAATAAATCCCAACATCTTTAAAGCTGTAGTTGAAGTTTCATTAATGATATTTAAAAGTTAAGTAATTTGGAAGTTTATACCAAAATCTGTGATATTATTACATGCCTCTAAAAGTACATTATTTATACAATAACAATAATTTACCAACTCCTTGATTTACCAAAACATTTGTTTATATTTTAAGTATAGCATATTTACGTCACACTAACTAGCTACGCTTTTAAGATCATTTTGTAAATAAAGAGGCATCAATTAAGTTATTAACTATTTGAAATATTTTAAGGTCGTCAGCAAACATGAAAAAGTTACTACTTTTAATTACTGGTGATACATCATTAACAAATATATTAAATAAGAGATTCCCAATAATGTGGTACCCCTGAGGTCACAGATACGCACTGAGATAAACAATTTCCATATTTTATATACTGACACCTACAAGACACAACTATTTATCTACTCAAGTATTATATTTACAAGACATTCAAATAATTTGGGTAATACTGATTGGTTACAAGCAGCCCCATTTAACGTGTTTTTTATCAAAAATAATATCTGTGGATGTAATTATTTTGTCATTTCTGCAATCCCACAATTTATATCCTGAATTAGAATAATCTATCATTATTGCGTATAGACGTCTTTGCTGTATTTATTGACTATGAAAAGGCCTTTGATCGAGTACAGCATCACAGATTAATTACAATATTAAAAGATAAAGGAGTTGATAGTCAAGACATACGATTCATAGAAAAGTTATACTGGCTTCAAACAGCGACAGCTTGCATAAACGGAAAATCAACAGAAATATGTAAAATACAAAGAGGTGTCAGACAGGGTTGTATACTATCCCCACTGTTATTTAATTTATATTCAGATAGAATATTTAAAGAAGCTCTGCATAATTTGGAATGGGGTGTGAAAGTTAATGGAATTCTGATAAATACAATCAGATATGCAGACGATAAGTTATTTTAAGTGATGACATGAATGGACTACAATACCTTTAAAGGCCATTGATACAGTGGGAAGAGAGTTTGGCCTAAACATAAACTGTTCAAAAATAAAACACATGGTGTTTTAGCACATCAAAATGCACGATTATATGTTGATGGTCATATAATTCAAAGAGTGTCCAGTTTTAATTATCTTGGTTGGCATATTACTGAACAACTAGATCCAGATCAAGAGATAATATGTAGAATCGAGATAGCCCGCACGACATTTTTAAAAATGAGGTCATTCTTCTGTAATGATAATTTGCAACTTCAACTTCGAAAGCGCATGGTTAAATGCTACATTTGGTCAGTCCTCTTATACGGTGTCGAAGCATTGACATTAAAAATATCCGCCATTAATTGTCTGGAGGCCGTTGAAATGTGGCTGCACAGACCTATACTAAAAATTCCATGGACGGCTATGCTGACAAATGTGGCAGTCCTTGAGAGAGCAAATGCTGTTCGCGAGCTGCTTGATAACATCAAATGTAGAAAGATGGCCTATTTTGGACACATAGTAAGGGGAGACCGATATAATATTCTTCAACTTATTATGATGGGTAAAATCGAAGGACGCAGAGGAATTGGTAGAAAGCAGGCCTCTTGGTTGAAGACCATCAGAGAGTGGACAGGAATAAGGAAAGCTGAGCAACTCTTTAGAATAGCTTGAGACAGAGACAGTTTCGCCATGTTAATCGCCAATGTCAAGGGGACTTGATAGGGCACGTTAAGAAGAAGGTCATTATTGTTGTTGTTATTCTAATATTAAATTTATTTAGCTTAACAAATATTACAGTCCATGCTTTAGAACTAGAAACTCGTAAGATTATTAATATTATTCTCACCATAGCATATTTGAGAAGGTGTTTTACCACCATTAGTGGTTGTAGGACTCCTGTTCAATTCATAAGCTGAACATCTCTTTACTTCACCCCACAAAGGCTTAGGCAAGTTTTTGCTAGTTTAACTCTAATCTTATCTATCAATATACGATTCATTCTTTCAGATGTACCCTTTGGTTGTGGAGTGTATGGTTGAGTGTACTGCAACTCAACACCCTTTTGTTTCTCAATATTTTTAAATTTATCATATCATAGTTTTAACATTATGTTTAGTTTTAATTAAATTAATAAAATCAAGAACATTATTTTCAACTTCACTTTTATTTCTTAGTAATTTAACAACTGTAAAGTATGAGAAATCAACATGTTACCTGAAAATATTATTCTCCATCTAAAGTAGAGTTCGTCACTGATCCTGCTATATCTGAATATCTTAAATCACCAATTCTTTTGTTTACGATGTCTTGTACTTTTACCCTGAATACATCTTTCACAAGCTTCGTTTAAAAAAGGTAATTGTAAATTATTAATGTTTATCTTTTGATCTCTAGGCATATATGCCAAATGTTTAATATTAAAACTTTAAAAATAAAGTTATCACTTAAAAAAATTGTTTTGTACAATTGTTTTGGACCACCTAAAAATGTTTTTTTATCTAGCGCTTCCATTAAAAAGTTTGCCTATGTTTGCCCTATACAAAAATCAAATTAAAATTTGGATAGTAGAAAAACAAGCAGAACAAGACAAGCGCCGAATAGAAACCAAGCACAAACTAATTGGAGTGAAATATATTAGCATATTTTCCTGTTTATGTATTCTCATATACAATTAATATCTTTCTATTTTAATTTATACTTATTGATATTTTTTGTTTCAGCTTCCTTTTTAAATAAATTTAAAAAGAAGAATTTTAAATGTCATTGTATGATGTTATAGATTGAATAAAGTTTTGTTAAAACAGTCTAGTAATATTTTTTTCTTCAAACGTCAAATAATGATGACATTATCTAACTTGATCCTGTCAAAGTTTGATGTCTCCGCCGGCAGCAGTTTTTTTTCTCATTGCGGCGGCGGGAAAAATGTTGTCATGCAACAATATGAAACATGTCACAAAGCAACAATACAAATGTCATTAACAACAATTAAACATCATTTTTATTTATAGTAATATTAAAAGTACAATTAGTTAATGAGGCATTTTCAAAATTGAAACAGTGCAAAAATGTTTGAGACTCTTGATACACATTGGTAATTGTTGATGATACTGATGGTCGAAAACAACTTTCAGCAATCATTCCCGATGTTGGCGAATCATGAGGGTTTAAAATTTTTTGAGCATTATCGTTCTTATTTCTTATTGAATCCTCTATATATCCTTCGGCAACCGAGCTTGATTTCCAGCCCCCATGTCGTTTGAGGCATTCTAGATTTCCGCCTCCATCAATTAAAAGTGTTGCTCAAGTTCGTCGTAAAGAGTGACCCGTGTATGCGCTTGCATCGTTTAAATTTAAATAACTAGCTACTTTTTGGGCTACTGCGCTGATCGAATGTATTCCCATGACGCTTCGGTAACACTTTTCATTTTGGTGCTTGATAAAAAATCGGTTTTCTGTGAAATTTTCAGGCCGCAGTGATGCATACTTTTTATACCGTTTAATGTAGTTTTGACCAATTATCGTAAAAGATATAATTTGTCGTGTTTTACTGTCGGGGATTTTATAATTATTACATTTTCTTTATCCTCAATGCCCACAGTCTTCATTTTTACCATTTCGTCGCATCGACAGGCGCCGGTAACCCCAATTAACAAAACAATCTGAAATATTTTTATAATTTAGTAGAGTATACTACATGCTTTGCAATATAATTTTTTTTACCTTTAATCCTAAATACAACTTATCTGGCGCTTTAAACAAAAATTTATCAAACTCGTCTTTAGTGAAAACTTCTTTGCAGTATATCCTTCGCTTGTTTTTTTCAGAAAGGCGCGTAACTTTAAAAATTTGCTTATATCCACATGTTTTTCTAATAACTAACTCGGATTTTATCATAGAGTATCGTGACCACATTGTAGAAGATTTCCATTTATTTTCATTTTCCATTATATTAAAATATGCCAGTAAAACGTCTTCGGTAACTTGCCGTACTCCTCTTGTATCGCACCACTCTTGGAAGTGCTTGTACGCTAACCGATACTTTATTCCGGACTTGGAGGGCCCCAAACGTGCTACTGCATCATTAGCCGCGGACTCAATTTCGTTTAGGTTTTCCATTTTCCACTGTAACCAGGGAGACGCAAATCCCACCGACTCGCGACGACTTAATTATTTTAATTTCTAACATCTAGACGACTTTGATAGTTGTCATAGTTAATTTCGAGTAAAAATAGCGTATGAATTGTACTATTTATGGTTGAAAATTGCTACGTTTGAAGAAAAAATAGTATACTTTATTCGGCAAAGAAGCGACTTTTTCTCAAAGAAGAAGAAAAGTCATGCTTCTCCGCCTCATAAAGTAATATACTATTATTGTTTATTGCCCAATTGTATTGCAACATTAAAAGAAAAATTCGCCCAAAGCAGATTCTAGATATCCGAACTTTAAGCTCAGCAGATGTAGGGTAAACACAAACCAGTACTAGCAAAAATATTAATGAAAATAACACCAAAACATTTTCTACAGGAAATCACCGAATTATCACATCACAACTGTACTCGAGGTGGAAAATTCCTAACTAAATAAATTAGGTTAGGTTAACATAACCTAACATAATAAATATGCTTTAACTCTTCTTTCTCATGGTACATACTAAAGACGTAATAGTACGTACTGGTATGTACCTCAGTGTACGTACTTAAAACGTACATTTTACACCATGTACGTACAGTGCCAAAATTGTACGTACTTAAAACGTGCTGTGCTGTTTGGGCTGTATTGCGATTTTGAACGGCGATAATTTAAGTTAATTGTCACGGTAATACGAAACTTTACATTTGTTTCTATATGAGGTAGCCAGTTCAACAACTTTACGAAATAACAGAAAGCAATATATTTTGACACAGTCGTTAGAATACAGCATTGAATTAGATCACATAAAAAATATTAAATGTAAAAATATGAAAATAGTACATACTTTCCCAAACATATAGGTTCTTGTCATAGAGGTCCATACTACTCAAAACAATTGTCGTTTGCCTGTCCGGTTCAGTGTGTCACAAACAGGCTACTTTTTTGCTTATTTCCTTGGTCTATAATGTGGACCGAGGAAAATATGAGAGAAATTTGTTATGATGTCAGAAAATGTAATTTTTCATTTTGTTTCGCCATCGTTTTGTTTCATGAATGTTCTAATACTTATTGACACGGGCAGATTCAGAGTAAAACTCGTTGTAAGACTCGTCCCAACCAATTAAATTTGCTAAATCACTATTCGACAAATAATTATATATATTTTTCGTAACTATCGGCAAAAGCGGACTGATATGATTCATAACTTTATCTGCTTCGTAGTACAAGCGTAGTCTAAACTCTCCTTTATTTATTTTTTCAGTAATGTACTGTGCGTATATAGGATATTTCTGGATATAATCTAGTGTGTCGAGTTCACTAACTATGTCCGGATTACTGAGATAAGCTGTTAATTTATTATTATTTCTTTCGAGCAATAATTGCCTGTAGGATATATTGCTCTCAGCTATTTTACACGTCTCCATTAGTTCTAATTCTGATTTGCATGCATTCCAGAATCTCGAAATATTTCCACCGTTGTAACGCTTGGGTTTAGGTGTGTTGATATTTGAGTACAAAATAAATGTGATTAAAAACTTTGGGAAATCATTGTCTCCAAATTTATAAGCCAAATGAAAAACGTCATATCCTTCTGAATTTCTGCTATTCACATAAGCTCCATGTTCAAGTAATAATCTTATAATGGGGGTATTCTTATTGAGATTTCTAACGCAAACATGCAATACTGTGTTTCTGAAGTTATCGGTGAGGCTGACATCTGCCCCTCGATTTAATAATAATTCCACAAGTTCCACCAAACTTCCAAAGACGTTTGGAATAAAATAACAAGCATATATCAAAGGAGTCCAGCCTGAAGCATTTTGCATATTGATATCTGCACCTGCATCTAATAACAGTTTTACAGTACTCAGGATGCCTTTTTCACAAGCCACATGAAGAGAAGTATTGCCAAAATTATCGCGTGCATTCACATTTGATCCCGCTTCTAGCAAAATATTAACAATATCTATATAGTTAGATTGAACTGCAATTAGTAATGGCGTTGCTCCATCTTTATTTTTTATTTCTTTGTTAGCTCCATTGTCGATTAAGAGTAAAGTTATTTCTTTGGAATTATTTCTTACAGCTCGATGTAAAAGAGTATCTTGAAATTCGTTTGCTACTGAAGTGTCTGCTCCCATTCTTATTAATATATTTACTACTTCTGTATGGCAATAGTCAACGGCTAGAAATAAAGAAGTGAGACCTCTTGAATTCATGGAATCAATATTTGCTCCATTTTTTAATAATAATTCCACAACAGCAGTATGACCATTCTCTGCAGCTATTGGTAAGGAAGTGTCTAAGTCTATCTGTTTTATTAATTTCTCATTTTTTAGTAATAAGGTGAGAATAGAAACTTTACCATAACGCGCAACATAATTCAGAACACAATAGTAATTTCCACAATGTTCAATATAAATGTCATTTGCGAAAGCTAATTCTATTTCATGAACGATTCCATTTCTAATTGCTAATACCAAGGCTTCTGCCTCTTCTCCAACTACAATCATTGCCTGAACTGTGTTTAATCAATTCTAAAAAAAATTAATACAATGTTATATTTAACTGATATATTTTTATTTGGGCTTGTTTTTTAACAATAATTGATATGTTCTAAGGTAAATGCACTGGTAATTGAATCTGTACAAAAGTAATTGTCATTTTGCATTTTAAGCATAAATCATAAGAACTGGAACAAAATGGAGTCGTAATCATTAGCAAAACTAAAGAAAAATCCTTCGTGGATCTAATGACAGAAGTATAAAAAACAAATTTACAGGAAGAAAGGACATTGACATAAAAAAGATCAGACAGACAAGAGACCAAGGAATATCACTGGAGCTGGGCGGAGGACGGGAAATGGTTAGGAAGTGAAGAAACTCCTCTCTCTTATAATACATCCGGTGACTGAAGGAAGCATCGTAAAGAGAAGAATCCCACCCAATACAACGGAGAAGATCCAAAAGGCCACGGAGGAAGCAGCTGGCAAAGAGCGGACCTGTGACATCATAAAAATTTGGACGATAAGTGCCGTGATGGATGTGGATAAAGACGCGGTCGAAAAAATCTTAAAAATGAAACGAATAAAGGTAGACTAGACATCCTGCCGAGTAATAGAATCAAGGGTAGAAATACCGAGATGCCTGATACGTCTCGCCTTTGGACACAAACAATGGCACTGCAAGGGACAGGGACAAAGAGGGCCACATAGCGCTGGAATGCAAGGAAGAAACAACCAGATGCCTCAACTGCGACGTGACCGGGCATGTGGCGAATTCAAGAATATGCCCAAAGTTCAACCGACTGGTGAAAATAGGAATCACTGAGGACTAGTCCCAAGAAGAGTACGCGAGTGGAAACAGTACGAAAGAGAGCGTGAAAGAAGTCCAAGGCTTAGAAATGGCAAACACAGGCAACAAGACTCGAGAGCTGAGGATGCTCCAAACTAACGTGGGAACAGCAAGATTAGCACAAGATCTTGCCGAGGCAACCGCAGTAGAAAAGAACAACGATGTGATGGTGAGGGCGGAGCCAAATCCAAGAGCGGTGAGGAGAAGAGTATGGTTTGTAGATACGACCGGAAGGGCTGCTGTACGAATCTACAATAGGAAACTGCGGGTGTATGAAATTAAGCTGAAAGAAGGATATGTGATTGTTCAGATGGAGGGGGTGCAGCTGGTCTGCTATTATATTTCTCCAAATGTAACGGTGGCGAGTACAAGATAAAGACGGACGAGATCATGCAGGAAGTGAGAAACACAGGCGAAAGCAAGAGGCTGGAAGGTTTTGGCAGACTACACCGGAACTGAACATTGGTACATCAGGTTCTTGATAACCAGAACGAAGATCTCTAACACAGTCATGTGTCGGTTTTCCACTTAAAGAAAATTCAATTCTGTCATCTTTTGAAAAAATCACTACAGGAAAGAATAGTGCCATCATTTTTAGAGAGTTGTTTCCAAAATTCTGTCTTAGTTCCCTGGAATGTTGGTGATAAGAAAGAGCAGGAACTGCAGCAAATGAAATAAAGCAAATAATTTATATTGATATAGTAAAACTTAATTTAGAATTAGTGTAGTAACATTTCATTAAAATATAAAAGGGATGTCACAATCTCAGATATTCATCTCAAGAGAACTAACAAAATATCAGTTTCCAGACTCAGTGGATGTAGATGGTAAAATTTAAATAATTAATTATACTATAATTCATATTATTAATAAAGTTCTCAATACCTATTTGAGTGTCAATTACTAACCCTTGTGTATGTCAACTTCTAGTTTTTTTTTTCATTTTGTGTCAACTACTAACACTTTTTGTAATTTTTATAAACAAATATTTTAAGTCGCAATTTTCCGATAATTTGGTTGTGGAATATTCAGAAAGAATTAGACTACCTGAATATACAAATTGTTAGTAAAGCTTAACTGTTGTGATGCTAAAACATGTTTTTTTTTATAAGGTCAACTATTGTGCATTTACTTTATAACGTTTATTACCTTTTTGAAATAAAAACAACTAACTCTTTTATTTTTGTATCTTAAGTGTATTAATATTTTTCAAAAATAAAACTTCTCTTTATTCTATGAAGACTTATTTTCGGGCATATCCTAAGCAGGACACAGCCTAAGCAACTCATAAATGATACATTGAGTATAGAAAAATAAATCTTAGTGAAAATATGAAAGGCAAATAATATGACGACAACTCTATAATAATTAGTTGTAAACGAAACAAGTATAAAACTGTTTTCATTCTATTATTACTTACATTAAAGAAATAAATGATGAGATGAATATTTATTCAGATTACATAGCACAGTTTAATGCTAAAAGAACTCTATACTAATAAAGAAGATTCTTTTACGGACGGCGTTCTTTTGCAATAATTTACTACGAGTATAGCATTATTTATCTTGGTTTGAAGTTTAGACTGGACCAGAGATTGCTGGACTGGACATTAGACCTAACCTAACCTAACCTTAGACATTAAAAATTAGACATTTCAAATATACGTCACTGTCACTATACGTCCACTCACTTGCCATTATGTCTTCTTTTTCTTTGCCTCCTTTGACAGTGTCAAAAAACCACTAGTGTCTAGAGACTGACCCACTATTCTGTGCAGACTTGCGCAGTTCATTTGTATTCATTTCTGAATGTGTCAATGAGGTTTGAGGTTTATAAATTATAATATCTATTTATTTATTAAATGGTGAATAGTTCCTCGAAATGCTCTGTTTTTTTAATATTTTTTGTTATAACACCAGCTATATATTTTAGTTATTGGATCCAATACAAAATACAAAGAACTTTATCAATATATTGGATTGCCATGCTTTTATTTAACTGTTTTTATTATACAATGTATTAAAGGCACAATCCCTTCTATATTAACTTTTAAATATATAGCCTTTAAGATACCTACTTATGTACATTCCATTTCACACCTGGTAAAAATATAGGCAGGTTTCATTTATTTGACATAATATCTATTTTAAAAGGATATAGATACATATTTTAGAGTATTATATACATTATTAAAAACAAGTTGAGATACGAAAATGAACTCACTCTTCTTTATTGAAATTAAGAACCTTTTAAAGTCATAAGGAGACACGCAGAGAGTGATCTATTCATTAACCACCCTGTATCCTAAAATAAGTTAATTAAAACTTTAACATGCAATATATCAAAGTTCTGGGAAATTTGTGCATAATCCAAAAAATTTATAATATACCTAACCAATGTTGGATTAAAATAAGAAAGTTGGTATCATAGTAATTGATATATAACATCAGTCAACATCCTGCATATAAAATAACAAATTTTTATTGAAAAAAAATGCGCAAAAAATATGTTTTAAAACTATTTAAAAAACCTCTAATTTTGATTTGCTATTATTTACTATTAATTTTAGAGTTATTCTTATGCAACCAACAATACACATAAACCTCATTGTCACACTCAGATGTGGATGAACTGCGCAAGTCTGCACAGAATAGTGGGTCAGGCTCTAGACGCTGGTCAAATAAAAACCGGATAGCTTCACTGTCAATATATTGCGTTTGCAGTGTTGCCATGTTTTTAGAATGTATTTACTGTATGCTCAAATCAGAGATATGTACACTTCATCTAATTTATATAACGATGCACGTCATAGGCGTCATAGCTTGTGACGACACATGATACCAACACGAAATATTTGTGCGGTAGGTGTGTTCGTTTTTAGACTCACTTTACCGAGTATATTGGCATTACAGCCACTAGACATATTTTATTATATGCGCTTAGAAATAATATTTAAAAATTTCTATTAGTGTTAACTTAAAGAAATACACAATAATATATTTCATTTAATTTGTATAAATACATTATAAAGCGTTTTTATCAAGAACATTTGTTCGGAACACACTGTAACTGTAATCGAACGAAGGTAAAATTTCGGCATAAATTGGTAACACTTACTTGACAGTTGCGGTGTTGACACTTTTTGTACTTTATTATTTTGAATTTTAAAATGAATATCTCTTGTTTTATATTTGTTCCTATTTAATAAAATTTGTTCTTTTAGAACAAAATTAGTGTGTTCTATTTCAAAAATGTCACGTAAGAATTTAAATAGTCATTGTATAGCGATGGTAATACTTTTGCAATAATTATGTGATCTATTTGATATAAAATGGAGTCAGGATTTTTTTATACTTTGGCAACTATGTCAACTTCGATCTCTATCGTAGATCATGACGTAAGTCGTTATCTAAATTAGATGAAGTATAAGAGAGATGATCTTCCCGTAGCACAAAATAGGTCTTGTTCGCGCATGCCGTCATTGGAGAGTAGAATTTGAATTCTTGTTAAAGTTAAATGGGATTTGTATGCATTCTGTGATGAAATTACTAGACGAAAATAAATTAAGAGGTTTAATAATTACAATAATTGTACACATGAGGATATCTCCAAACTATTTATTAAAGTTTATTTATTGATACATACAAAAAACTGACATTTCGAACGTCAAACTCTCCAATGACGTCACGACTTAAGGTTTAATATATAGTTTATATATTAAACCTAAACAATACTAAATCTCCATACAACATAGAACATTTCTGGCGACATTTGTCGCCAAGTGACGTCACACGACTTATCGCGTGCGCGTAGGTTTATCTTTAGTTCATAGTATCATTGGGCGCGTTCAGCAGACGGAGCTGCTCCACAACTGTTGAGTAAAAGTCTGCAAAATGCAACCGCTACCGCGGCGCTACTTCCGGAGCGGTCTGTCAAATTTGGTAGCGTAAAAAAGTATCGCTACATCCATCCAACATGTTGAGAGAAATGTCATTCTTGACATTTCGGTACTAAAATTGAGGGTTAGGTGTTTGTTTTGTTTTTATTTTACATTTTTTGGAAATTGGCGACATTTGTAAAAGGTGAAGTGTGCATGTAGACTCGTGTTTTTTGTTGTTGAAAGCTCTTTTGTGTTCTGGTATACATTTGTTGAAGGTTCTACCGGTTTAACAGAGGTATAAGTTTGTATGTTGGGTTTTTGATTAAGTTTGTTATACCCCACTGTATAAATGTTTTTTATGTTTGCTCTGGTACTTAATATATTTGCTTAAGTAATTGTTTGTTCTGAAAGCTGGTGTTATTCCTATCTGTTTGTTTTCTTAGTTCTGTTGATATCATGCCTGATATGTAATTATTGTTTCAATTCATTGATGGTTTTATTACTTATGTATCAAAGTCTTTGTTTCAGGCACTATATAGCTTTCTTTATTTAGATGATAATTGTGTGTAATATTAAATTTTATTTTCAACTATCTAATATGTTGTTTCCAAGTAAGTGAAACTTTACTATATATTTACTGCAATTTAAAATGCTTTTAAAATACCCTAATGCCAGGCCGAAGTCTGCAGAAGGATATTGATCGTATATCTAAGTGGAGCACACAAAATGGTATTTGGATGCGTCAAAATGTCATAATTTTCATTTGCACCTTTCCTCATCCCCCAATAATATTCGAATATAGTAAACACAATTTAACCCTATATTCTACTTTTGAAAGCAAGGATCTAGGTGTGAACCTTGACTCTAACCTTATATATAAATCACACATTTCCACAACAATACAGAAATCTATGAAGCTACTTGCTTTTGTGAGGAAAACCATCAGAGATTTTTCATACATCTCTGCTATTTGATCCCCTTCTCCATGGTTAGATCGCTTTTTATTTACTGGTCCACAGTTTTGTCCCCCTATTACATTGCACCTAAACTTAAACTTAAGACTGTACAATTTTCTGTCATGCCATTGTATGGATGCATCTATACTGTGAATATGTTTCATTAGAATGTACACTGAACTTCTCTTGAGGTATGTTGAAATCAAAGAGACTGAATAGTTCTATTTATAATTATCAACAGTCTGTGCACCTGCTTCAAACTTCTCTCCAAAATATTTGTTTATTAGTGTCCAATATTTCAACTAGGTATGTGCAGACTTTTTATGTTCTTTTCATAGATACAATTATAACCCGACAAGGGAGAGCTGGCGGGTTGCGCGTAGAACAAATTGAAAAGTGGAAGGAATTGCTCTTTTCTATTGCAGTCGGCTAGGAGTTCACATCGTGTATAACCGTTTAAGTACCTATTCTATATACCTATAATCGCGATTAAGTACCTCTCCTATCTCTCTTAGAATAATTCCTTTTCTATTCGCACAGCTCACCGCCAGCTCTCGCTTGTAGGATTATACTCATATAACAACTTTACTCCCAGAACTCTTCTATTAGCTAACTCTTCAAAGAATCTCCAAATTTTTAATCAATCAGTTTTCCTCTTCAAAAGTGATACTTTCGACTTCAGCTTTTGTATTGTGTATAGTGTTACATTACCTTCATGCATTAGATAACTTAAAACCATTAGACCTTGTGACTTTTTCTGAATTAATTTGTTATCTTATTTTGCATTCCTCTCTATCTATAAATAATAAACTCCTAATCTATAAACAAATACTGAGGCCAGTATGGCTGCCAACTCTGGGGCTGTGCCAAACCTAGTAACATCAAAGTAATCCAGGTATTCCAGAATAAAGTGCTGAGGAACATCGTAGATCTTGGTATTTTAGGAACAACAATCTTCACCGGGACCTCAAGATGGAAGATGTCAATCAGATAAAGAAATTTGCAGGGAGCCATGAACAATGACTCCATCATCATGTAAATGTCGAGGCTATCCAGCTCCTCGATAATACGAACCTAGAGAGAAGGCTCAAAAGAACAAAGCCTTTTGAACTGGTATAGTGGGTGAGTGAAAAGCAGAGCAAAGTATTGTGAGAGTATGCATGCTAAATTTAATGCTAGTTATTAGAAATAATAGGAAAGATACTAGTGAGTAGACACCTAATTTTAAGTTTTCATTAGTAATTTAAGTTAGAAACAAATTGATAATTGGTCTTAATGACCAGATTTTAATGTAAGTACACTTCAGTGTATTCAGTAAAAAAAAAAAATTTGTGAATATATGTTGTTTTTTTGTTATTGTACTATTCATATATTCTTTTTCCAAATCAGTTTATTGTATTAACTGCATTTATAGCACTGTAAATAAAACTTGTATAATGTAAATAAAATGATATATTTTTAGTAGCTTTTGTTTTATTAAAATTAATGATTTTACAGAGGAAAGTGTGTTTATAAGCTAAGTAAGAAAAGTTTGTAAATATAACATAAATATTAATGAACCAAAATATTTACAAGTATCATCATTCTACTTGCCTTTTTGCCTCTTTAATAGATGTTCCCTCATTTTGTTAATAAAAGCACACCCAAATTTACTCTTAAATACTCATTCCTCACCTCATCTTTTTTAGTTACTCCACTCACCCAATGAAGCATGCTCATTTCAGCCATGTAATTTCTGTTTATTCCTATTTACTGTACAACATTCAGTACCATATAATAATCACTGGTCTCAAGACAGTATTATAGAGCCTGTCCTTTAGTTTTTACTGGTACCTTCTTATCCTTATCACAACACTTCAGTCACCTCCTTCCAAGATTTTCTGCAGCATTTAACAGTAGATTGAATACCAAGCATGATAGTGCATCTCCCAAAGCAGTCCTCGGTTAGTTTTAAATGACTCTGAGACTTCTCCTTGTATCCACACTTTACATTTAACAATATATTTAATAATAAATAGGTCCTGTTGAGTTTACCTATTAGCTTTATTAGTATTTTTCCATCACGTGGAACTCCACTCATTTCGTTAATACTGTTTTAATTCTATTACTTAAATTTACATCCTAATAACTCTGTAATACTGAGTCTAACTACCTAAAACTACCACTCTCTTTTATGTTTTATAACACTAGATTGAATGGCATCAAATATAAAATAGGGGTCTGTCATATTTTTCAATTAACAAGTAAAAATATTTATAAGATAGTAATTGGGCCAAGAGTAACTAATTTTCCAGCAGATCTATATAAAGAAGGTAGTTCGAATATCACTGGCAGTGGCATCACAACAGCCTAGAAAAGAAATATGAATACAGCAGTCCCTCCTCAGCGATTGGAATACTTGCACCATACATAAAAAGGAAGATATATCACAATACCCACATCACAGAAGAACTACTCTCCTTCATACTCCGTGATGTTGCATGGCACATAATGATAGTGAATAATAGGAAACTAAGGCTTATGAGGCTATCTAAATTTTGACAACTCATTAAATATTGCATCCTTTAGGTAAAAAGTAGGTACATATAATACAATACATTAAATTAAAAGTTAATATGCTATTGATATGATTTGTGGCTAATGAACATAGTTTTGAAGCCAAATCTCTCTGCATACTGTCACACACACAATTAACAATATCTTAATTATATTAACTTCATTAATTTTACATCTAGTATTTATGCATGAAAATATATACTAAACCATACAATAAAGGACTAATTATAACATGAACATTCTAAGTTGATTAAGAGAGTATTTAAGACATGGAAAAAGCAAGAATACCATTGGCAGTGCTACATATACAACAATTCTTAGATTTTCAAGGTGGTCTTGGTAGAGTAAGTACTCTTTATTGAGTCCCAACAAGCTGCACATATAAACCAAATTTTATTTATTTTTTATTATTATTTATATTACCTACAGATGCAAACAAGTTAACTGTACATAGACCTGGGCAAAAATAGTAAATTAAATTATCACCTCTAAAGAAGATGGAGAAAAGTTGTCAAGAAATGTATGGGATATAGTTTAATAATATACACACATCAATAATAATTAATAAAAATCAATAATATACACATGGAATCACCCAGTATTCCGATTTTGTAAAGTATTACTAAATTTTTTTTAATGAAAAATGAACTACATTTTATACTAAACCAGCTAAATTACTATAAAAAAAATCAAAAAAATGTTACAAATGCATTAAATTAACAAAAACACGAACAAATGAAAACATTGCAATGGTTGACTAAAAAAAGATACAGTCTTGTTGTTCATTTTAATAGTCAGATGCCCAAAGTATCAACTTGTTCTTGAGGTAAGTTTGCCCATTATTTGCGTTTCATCTTCAGTTTTCAGAAAGTCTGTGGATCAAAGTTTATTATTGCTTCACTATGGTTATCTGGCCACATTATATATTGAGGCACTAATAATAAGATTGCTGACACAATTTCTTTAAAAATACACTATGGGCTGTACTCTTGGCTATATTGAACCTGTCGCCACAGGCTACAAACGATTCTGGTTTAGCTAAAACCCAGGTGGTGAACAGCACTTTTTTATCTAAAGGAATTGTAGCTCCAATGGGTATAGCTCCTAAATTTCCTAGTTGCTGGGTAATTACCTAAAACATTTATATGTAGTTTTCAAAGAACTAATAATCTTTACTAAAACCTACTTCAGCCCATTCCCTACTCATGCGAAAATGCTTTACAAAAAGATCTCCCATATATTGGGGAATGGTTTCCTCATAAAAATTTTGATTACGAGGCACTTGAGCTCTCTCAGCATTATTCAGCTCTAATTCTTCAGTTTATGCCAACTGATCCACAACATTTTCAATTAGCTGGATATTATTTTCCTTGTCCGCTAGTAATGTGGCCTAAAGTTTAATAATATTTAAAAGTCAAGCTAAATTGGCAATCTAAAACATAAACAAAATATAAAATATTTAATTTTAAAATGACAAATTATTTGACATTGACAGATAAGGTAGCGGTAGCGGAATCCAGCAGGTTTTGACTTATGACATTTGGTCCAGCGCTTTACGATGGATTCGGAAGTAGCGGAGCGGTAGCTGCTCCGTCTGCTGAACGCGCCCATTGATCTTTCAACATTTCAAATATACGTCATACGTCTTACTTCTTTGCCTTGACGGTTGACGTTGACAGTGTTAAAAAGTTGTCATTTTGAGATTATTTTGTAAATCCAAAAGTATTCAAAATTTTGAAAATGATAATAAACATTTACTAGTCTTTCATATTTGGTAAATTTTAGTTGCTACTGACGATGGCTTGGAGATCTCACGGAAAATCCAATCTGGAATTAGTCAGAAATTTAAGAGGTACATAATTAAGTTATTTGTTTTAATATCGTTTCCTCATCTTTCTTTCTCTTATAGCAAATGGTATTATAAAAACTGATGTCGTTGAAAATGCGATGCTAGCAGTTGACAGAGGAAACTACTCAAAAACAAGTCCATATATGGATGCCCCACAAGGTATAGGATATGGAGTTACAATAAGTGCCCCACATATGCATGCTCATGCTTTAGAACTATTAAAGGATAATTTAGTAAATGGTACAAGAGCTTTGGATGTTGGTTCAGGCAGTGGGTACCTTACTGCTTGTATGGCAATTATGATGGGGGAGAAAGGGTAGGTAAATATTTTCGTGGTTATATTTCTTTCCAAACTAGCAAATTTTAGTTCTATATCCATTTATTATTTTGTAACTTTGACCACAAATCAAATTAACTCAAATGTTGTAATGGTTTTATTACAAATTAACTTTACTTAAAATCATTTAAAGTTATTTTACATAATGCTGCAGATAAACAGATGTGTTAAATAGCTCAGTAGAAGATTATATTTCTTTAGACCTTTATAAAAGAGAATTCTTTGACTAGAACTCGTTTTCACCCTTGATAAAGAAAAATAAATTTAATAATTCTCTCATAAATAAAATCATCCTGTCGAATTTTAGAGTTTGTTAGGTACTAAAAGGATTTAAGATTTGCAACATTAAAAATGCAAATCCACTAGTTGGTGTTTTATCCAAATGTGAATTATTTATCAGAAACAATTAAGTAGAGCAGAAATTCAAAATGTGATACAATTGTAAATTTATATGCAAAATCTGTTCAAATTTAAGACAAGCTTAAAGAGATGGATGAGTGATAGTTTTAATGTCCATTTCATTTTTTTATTGATACTGTTAATTTAAACACATTGCATGGATAATATTATTAATACTGGTAATTCAGACGTAAAAACTCTGTTATTACAAATTATTATCACGTGGGTGAGACATGCTTATGTTTTGATGAAGTGTGTCTGAAACGAACACAGTGTAGTTAGCTTACTCCTTGTGTATAGATTTTTAGATATTATTTTTAAATTGGCATCTGCTTGGTCACACAGTTTCCGTTTTGTGTACTCTTCAAATCAATTGTAGAGTGCTGTTTTTTAAGTGTGACATAGCCACAATAGAACTCTTTAGACCTGCTGCAGACAGAGTAAAATGGGCCGTGATGATCACCACATTAGTTTACGTTTAGGCATTGTAATAGCCTTTAGTCTATATAACTTTATTTGTTTTATATTTTTGCAGAGTTGCTGTTGGCATAGACCATTTAACTGAATTGGTGGACATGTCAAGGAGCAATATCCAAGCAGCAAATACAGATTTGTTGGAATCCAACAGAGTGCAGTTGTTTGTGGGAGATGGAAGACAGGGATATGCTGAGCTAGGACCTTATGATGCTATCCATGTAGGAGCTGCGGCACCTACGCTACCACAACAGTTAGTTGATCAATTAAAGGTAAGTGGTGTTTTATACTTTTTAATTATATTTAAATAATATTAATATGGACAGATGAAAATATGAGAGAAAGATGTTATGATGCCAAAAATATAATTTTTCGACTTCAGTTGTTGATTGTATAAAAAGAAAGGTGATCAAATTGTATATGATTGCAATGTTATCATTTCGTAGGGCTATGATTTCAAGCCTTTTTCCATAAGCTACCTGATTTTTTTGTTGTAAATTGATTATACTGCAGCCATTTGTCTTGTATGTTTTCCCTTCATTTATTATATCCATTCCAGAATTCTGGCACCATTAATCACCTTAGTGGATGGATAAGATATGTTTTTGGAATCATTTCTTCTTCATGTATGATGTGCTTTCACATTGTGAATGTCAGTTTTAAATTCTGGTGTTTACTTACTATGAGTATTTTGGTTTTCCATATGTTTAGATTCAGATGTGCTTTCTTACAGCAGCTCTTAACAAAACTGTAATATTTGCAGCTCTCTTAGAGGCACTCTCCTGTTTTAATATTAAGTGCTTGTGATTCCAAACTGTCTACTAAAACTGATGTTGTTCGATTACAATACAAATTTGCAATTATGCAAACATCTCTGCCATCCAAACCATTGTCTCTTGGAACTTATATCAATATAGAGTGCTTAACACGATCAAATGCCTATTGGAAGTCAATAAAACAACAATAGATGTTTGCTGATATATCACTACATATGTGAGCGAGTATGTTCATCCCAAACAATGCCTTTCTCATTCCAAACCTGTTACAGAAAAAAAACTGTGTGTCACGTAGGTATTCCTTGCACTTATTATAGATACGGCCATGTATTACCTTTAGAAAACAATTTCAATAAATGGCTTAACAAACTGATGGTTCTATAATCAGCACAGGCTTTTGCTTTTGAATTCTTAGGTAGAGTTATGAGCAATGAATTGGACCAACCATTAGCTAGGTGTCCACTGGTATAAAATGGTATCATCCCTTCTTTTTATCTTTGAGCTGCCTTTTGAATCCCTTTCACAGTTTTCCTTTAGTGTTGTTATAATTGTATCGAACCCGCATTGACATTCTTACTGAGATTTTCCCAAACTAAGTTTTCGTTCAGCTGTTTTTAAACCATTTAACTTTTTCGTCTTGTAGTTGGATTATATCAATATTGTTATGAAACTTCCTTTTGTTCACGGTTTTTAATTTTAATTGGGTTACAAATACTATGAAATTATGATCAGATCCAATGTCAGCACCTCAATAAGTTTTAGCTGATTTGATACAGTTTCTAAATCAATTTTTTATTAAAATGAAGTCGATTTGGTTCCTAATAATTTTATTCTCAGTTTCTGCATTTGACTTCCAGGTGTAGAGTCTTCTCAGTAGTAATTTGAAGTGAGTATTCGATATAATGAAATTGTGTTCTTGGCAGAACTGGACAAGTCGATCTCCACATTCATTTCTGTGTCCCAGGCCATAATTCTCCACAATATTCAAACAGGGTCCTTTGCCGATTTTTGCGTTCCGAGGATCTGGTATTTTCTCCTGCTTTAACAAGATCTACAGCATTAGTAAGATCTTTGTAAAATACTTCTAAATTATCTTCATCACTGGATGATATTGGGCCATAGACTTGAATTACTTTGGTAACGGCTTCGAACTAAATTTCACTAGGATTACTATGTTAAACATGGGGATATAATTTACTACTTATTGAGCTAAGTATTTTGCGACTGCGATTGCAACTCCATTATAGTGATCATCTTTATTTCTGGCATAGTTCACTTGATATCCATCAACATCACATACTCTTGATCCTATGCTCTGCATTTCACCTATTCCGAGGCTGCTGACTTGAATTTCTTTCATTTAGTGAGCTAATATTTTAAAAACAGTTACTACTTTTGTAATAATCAGTGTCGAATTTATTTCAGGTTGGTGGCCGGCTCATAGTACCTGTAGGTCCAGCCGGTGGCGATCAACAACTAGAACAAATAGATAAATTAACTGATGGAAGTATTCAAAGAAAAATACTCATGGGAGTCGTCTATGTACCTTTGACCGACAAAGAACGTCAATGGCCTCGACATCGTTGACTACGTTTAGCTGTTTTTATTTTCATTGCGATTTTTCTTGTTTACTGTGTTGTTCGTGTATCCTCAAACAAGTTTCATTTTCTGAAAACGAACTAGTCATATTTATTCTAAGAAAAGCTTAGTTATTGAAGAAGTGTGGGTCAGCTAGAAGGATGTGATTTTATCTTGTTGACTAGCATCATTGAGATGTTGAAAATGTGACGACCTTGTTTTTTGTGTGTTAGTTTTTAGCATCTTTGCTTCGTAAGCTGTTTAGCTGTGTCACCATCTTCTTTATAATATTGATCTTTTGATTGCCATATTCTTTTATTTTGATCGCCTTTTGCTTTTGATTTGACTGTAATTATTTTACTATTCATTTTCCAACCTGATATATGAGAGATGATTAAAAAGTTTCAGGACTAATGCTTAAAAACTTTATTTAAACATATTATAAATAATACATCTTCCCCATTATACCTCTTTAGAAATGTATACAAATATAGTACCAGCTTTTACGAGTCTAGATGATGGTTACTATATGTTTTTGGAGTAGTTTCATAGTCATACTCATAGTCAGTCTGCTACAGAGACTGCAGTTCAAATCTCTGTGAAACAATCCTATTGTATGCAGGTATCCATTGCCAGGCGCATGTCAAGTAAGCATCATTATGATTCTGAGCTGAATTACGATGAGGTACTTTTTGGTTTAGAAGGTCACATTCACTTTTACATATAACAAATACTAATACACGAGGTTGTGCAAATTGGCGATGTAATCAATCGTCAGCCGATGGTTTTAAGTGAGAGCGGCACCTAACGTGTTAAAAATTAATGAGTAACTATATGTATTTCTCAAATCTCATTGTTATCGATACACATTTATCTCCAAAAGCTTATTGCAAAAAACTCTCCAAAAACGAAGCTAGTTGCACAAAAACAGCTGTAAATTCGCGAATACAAAAGCGATTCAGTATTGGAACAACTGAGGATCACTAAACAATGCTACCAATCGCATTGCACTTCATTGCGATGTTGCCACTCAGTACAAATAGTCCTTGAACTAAGTAATCAATCAATTCACTAAAATAAAATGTTCCCAGATCTATTGAAATTATGACTATGACATATCTCAGTAGAATAGTTGACATGTCTCTGTAAAATTGTTATTATAATAAACTAATAATGGCGGAGACTGGAGAATGCAGATTCCTTATTTGACATGCACTTTCCCTCTCACACATGTTGTCTATTTACTTCTGTCTCTAAAGATACACTTTTATTTCAAATATTTTCACCACCACTAATTGATTATTTAACGCAATTTCTAAGAGCCCCTTTCCAGTTTGTTTGCCCCTTTTGCTATGTAATTTTATAATACACAAAAGTACAACAAAACAACGTTATTAATTTCTAGTGAACTCGCCGAAACAGCAGCTTCTTCAGAAGAATACTAATGGTGGATAGTCTGGATGTCAATCGGAATAAAAAGTCATTACATTATCTTCGAAATACGTTTAATCTGAATGCTACACTCTCTTCGTTCATACTACATGATATGCAATTCTTTTGCATAATTTCCTTCTAATATTAAGGAAGATGTGTATAATTAATATACATATAAATTCTTTATTATAAAGTGCTATCGTGAGCACTGAGTACTTAACAAAAAATAAAGTAAGAAATACTTTATAAAAATAATATTGTTTGACAAGTCTGGATTGTTGAGTAAGTTTGTTGATTCTTTTTTCTCTTCGTCCGATAGAAAACATTAATATTTTGAGATTTGATAGCGGTCAGCACTCAAAGATAGCTAAATCTGACTGACTAAAACTGAATAGAATGGATGTTGCAACAATTCGTACTTGATCCACCGATTTTCGCGATATGATAATAAACTGATCATTGTCCTCGATTCATGAATTATTTTTTTACCAGTTCGGATTCCAAATTTCTTTTAAATCTCAAAAAATATGACGTTAGCACTTTTTGGCCTTAACCTGTTATTTCGTTTCGTGGCCGAAGTACGGCATATTTTTTAGCCTTCATTTTACGCTTTAATCACGGCCAAAATTTCCTTTCCATTAAAAAAACTTATTTAACAACTTTGGCTTATTTCTGGACTCAAATTTGCTTTGGATCTGAAAAATATCGAGTTGATACAACTCCTTGGTATCTCTTTTTATTCAGGATCACGCTGCTAGGTTCAATATTGATGAAACTCAGAATTAAGTTGTTTCTAAATGATGTTTTTGTACAGTTAATATTGCGCCAGTAGGTACGTATATTTCTGAAACAAAAACTTCATCCAAAATATTCATAACACCTAATGAGATCTTTCCGTGGAGATTGAACAGCCTTGTTGCTTCTGATTTTATGTTCTATAGCAAGGACACCACATAATAGTAGTAGGGTACGTTTCAGTCTAAACATCTTTTATTAAAAAAACTTAAAATTGATATGACAGTTTGCAAAAGGATCGAAAATGAATCACAGAAAAACATCTGGTCCGGTTCACTCCTGCAGAAACAAATCCATTGTTTATATTTCTTTTATTTTAACTAATGGATACTAATATGTTAAGATACTTATATTTAAAAAATTATATTTTTCTATTGCATTACGATTACGAAATTGTACTAATTGGTTATTATGAAAGTATTATTCTAATTTTCAATTACTTACATACTTAAGAAGATAGTGAATAAAAGGAATGTTAAAATTATTTGCGTATTTTTTATTCTACACCTTTATTGTACGCCCTATAGAGATGCAGGGCTGGACTGGCCTAGAAAAAGACGCCAATCTAACACTAAACGGAAGGCGTCAGGCCGCCTCTCCTAACCTTTTTAAATCCACACTTTTTTGAAATTCTAATGTATGTACAGTGAATCAATATTATTTGTGTATTTTTTAAGTTTAATAATTAATTTAAATCCAGTAACTTTAATAGCGAAGGCGATGAGTTTTTCACTGCCTCTTCTACTTTCTTATACTCTCTGGATAGGTACTCCAAAAAATGTTTAGAGTGCGAGTGCGAAGAATTTTTCAACTGCTTCTATAAAAGCATCAACTCATTCAAAAAATTTAAGAAAACATGGTGATTGGTAGTCAGCTACCTCTCTGAATTTATTTAGATTTTTTAGTTCGCTCCATAAAAAAATCATGGTGATTGGTGGTTAATATGACTCCCTTTCTGAATTCTGAATAATTTTTATCTGACTACCCTTATATCGTTTTTTAACACTTCCTTTATAAGCTCACAACAACTCCTTATTAGATCTAGTCATGGTCCAAGATGAAGAGGTTGAAGTATTTTAGGCTGAGTGTCCTCATCCCAGAGGATAGGCATCATCCTCACTCTCATTTGGGTTTAAATGTGAATCTCAATATTTCAATGAGCCAGGACTGATTGAAGATGGTTTTTATAGAGACTTTCTCTCAATGAGTGTACGGGAAGTAAACTTTTTTCAAAATTTAACTGGGATAATTTGCTTAAAAATAAAAGTTTTGATGATATATATCATCAACATGTTTTATGATGTTATTTACCTTGCAATTGATATTTTTGTTCCCCTGAAAAAGAATTTAGCAAAATAGTTTCCTGTCTGGTTTTCTCCAGAGCTTAAAAAAACAATAATAAAAAAAAAGAAAATGCATAAAAAATATCTAAAATCTCAATTACTTGCTGACTATAATGAGTTTTCTTTATTACAAGCTAACTGTAAACAACTGAAAGAACAATACTATATCTTGATTATGTTGCTCTAACTGAATCCTCTCAGAAAGATAATGTTAAAAATTTCTGGAAATTTGTTAACAGTAAAAAACAGGAATATACTTCATTCGCTTAGCTCGGGCATATTTTGACAGATTCATTGTCGGAAACCTACAACACAACAAGTCCTACTTCTCAGTATTATTAGCTCAAGTATACTAGTATTGCAGACTTTTTTCATCGAAAAAAGAAGAATTATTCTAAATAGTGTAAGTGTATACTAAACCCATCAAATTTCCCTGTATATTTAAAATATAATATTTGAATTGTTACAATTTAACATATTGTACTAAATATTTGTATTATTCACGTTGTTTATTTTAGCTAATATAGTTTTATTGTTCTATTATTTTTGTTTAATTCTTTGTTAGTTCTATTTAGTTAATTAGTTAGTTCTATTTTGAATTTTATTATTAGGGATAGTCAAAGTTTTCCATTTGTTCTATCAGATAATGCGTTGGTAAGATTTTCTTAAATAAATATGATAAATATTTAATATTTTGAGATGAGTAAGGATGCTGTTAAATTACAAGGTAATCAAACTGCACACAGATTGATTCAAAACACCAACCATTTTTTTTAATTATTTGCTCATTTGGCGTAGGTTGATCATTATTAAATATATTTATGAAATTATGTAAATATGTTCTTAATAACAAAAACATTTCAGTTAACATTCAGTTCAGTTTTACATGGCGTCAAAAATTATCTATAATTTAATAAAAATATATTTTATAAGTTATGGTAATTTAGTTTATATCGTTAAGTTACTCCAAATGTAGGCAACCAACTTGCAAGATTGTATAACACAATATTAAGTACGTCTTCTGATTATATATCATTTGAAATAATGCTTATTCAGCATTATAATTACTTTCAAAAAAATAATAAATTAACTGGAAAATATTAAACGTTAATTAAATATATTCTCAAGAAACTCTAGCTAAATGCTAACAAAAAGTTTAAGTTGGTTGCCTACATTTGGCGCAACCTAACGATATAAACTAAATTACCGTAATTTTTTTTATAAAATATATTTTTATATATAATAGAAACTTACTTTCTTTATACATGATATAAATTTCTAAGTCATAGTATAAGTTTGCAAAAGAGGTCGACGAAATACTCTAATGAAATGCGCTATGAGCACGTGTGCTTGGTTGTATAGAAATTTCCAGCCACTTCTAGTCTGTCAAAAAGTAACTAACTGCGTAAAAACATAATTACTAAAATCACTAGACAG